CGATGCTGAGGAAGATCCTCAGCGTGACGTAGCTGCCCACCGGCGCGAACGTCTCGTTGTAGTCGGCGCCGTACACCTGCGTGAAGCCCTTCACAACCAGCCTCGCCTTCTCGCGCTCGACGGTGTCGTCGACGTGGTACTTCGTCGTCAACACCCACCGGTTCTTCATGACGTTCACTCCCGGCGGACGTTCGACCAACTCCCACGTTCCCATGTTGAGGAGGCTGCGAATCTCCTCCTCCATGGCGGCCTTCACCGCCGGGCCCTTCCAGCTCGCCAATGCCTCCTTCACCGTCATCGTCGAGATGTCCCAACGGTGCTCGCGGTCGGCTAGGATGTTAGGGTCGAGCTCTGGAAACTCCTCATCATCCTCGGCGTCATCGTACAGCAGGTCGTCGTCATCGTCCACGTCATACACCGTGGTGAAGGCAGCGGGGACGAAGAAGTCGGGCGGCCTCCGAAGTCGGCCCGAACGCCGTGGTCCCGACTGGGCCTCCTCGGCATCCCCTCCATCGTCACTGTCGTCGCTGCCCTCGGCGTCCTGCTGTTCCTCAGTCGGCGTCCCAGCCGACTGTTCTACTGCGGCCGGCTTCCCAGCCGACTTCTCCCCTGTGGTCGGCTCCCCTGCCGACGGCCCGGTTGCCGACTGCTCTTTGGTCGGCGTCACTGCTGCCTGCTCCTTTGTCGGCCGCTGGTCCTCGACCTGCTTCTCGACCTGCTCCTCCCCTGTCGACGTCGACTGCAATCCCACGTCGACCTGACGCTCGTCACGTCGGCCACCGGCGATGCACTTGGCCGAAGGCGACGTCCCACTACTCCCCTCATCGCCGGAGGCCGACACCGAGGTCAGCCCAAGCAGGTCAGCCACGAGGGGAGGGGCAGGGGTCGGAGGGGGAGGGGTAGGGCGGACGTCCTCGACGTCCGTAATAGCAAGCTCACCGACCTCGGCAAGCAGTGGTAGCGTCGCCGACGAGGTGTCAGAGGGCGGGGTGGGCGACGAGCAGCCGGACACCGACCCGTACTCCGTCTTCCATTCGGCCAGAGACAGCTCCTCGTAGAACACCACATCCGACGTGGTGACCACCCGGTCGGCGTCGACGTCGAGGAGCTCCCAGCCCTTGCTCGCCGCCGACACGCCAAGGTGCAGGCCCCACCTGGCCTTCGGCTGCAGCTTCCCACCACGCTGCTGCTCGGTGACTAAGAACTGCGCCATGCAGCCCCACACCCGCGCCAGCGACAAGTCGGGCTTCTTCCTGGTCAGCAGTTGGTACGGCGTCGTCCCCGGCGGCAGCGCCGACCTCTCAAGGCAGTTGCGGACCCAGACGGCCTGCCGGAGAGCGAGGTGCCACCAGTGGTGCTGCACGCCCATGTGCAGCAGCATTGTCCGCACCGACTCCACCACCGTCCTCATCTCCCGCTCCGCCATGCCGTTCTGCTGCGGGGTGTATGGGCAGGTCAGATCGTGGACGATCCCCTTGCCGTTCACGAAGTCGGTGAACTGCTTCCCGAGGAACTCCCCTCCCCGGTCAGAGCGCAGCATTAACACCGACCTCTTCGTCTGCCGCTCAGCCACTGCCAGCCACTGCACGAACGCCGGCAACGCATCTGACTTCTTGGTGACCGGCTTCACCCACACGTAGCGGGTCTTGCGGTCCTTCAGCAACAAGAAGTACAGGCTGCCATCCTTGGCAGCCACGCGGAATGGCCCGCACAGGTCGATGTGCACGACGGCCAGCACATCGTCGGCGTCGGAGCCTTGGTCGGGGAAGGTGTGTCGCGCCAGCTTCCCGCCGACGCACGAGACACACGGGGAGCCGGCGTCCGTCGCCGACTTGAGGTCTAGCCCAGTGGCGACCTCGTTCTTTGCTGAGCTCCGTATGGTGTCCATGCCGACATGTGCAAGCCTCGCATGCATCCGGTCCGGCGTCGACTTCGTCTTCGAGACGATCGCCCGCAGAGCCACCACCTCCGACGTGGGCGGCGTCGACCTCGTCGCGCAGGGACGCAGGTCGGTGCAGAGGACTCGCCCAGAGTACGTTGCCCGCCCGAGCACCTCCCCTGCTGCCGAGACGAGCAGCATGCCGTCTCCGTCCTCCTGCAGCTTCACTCCGTGCTCCTTCAGCTGGCCGGCCAACAGCAGGTTGGCTCGCACACCTGGGACGTACAACACGTCGGGGATGAGCACCTCCTTCCCGGCCTCTCCTCGCAGAGCGACGGTGCCACTGCCCCGAACGTCCTGCAGCGCCCCATTGAAGCCGCGCACGTGCTTGATGGAGCCACTCGGCTGCAGGTCAACGAAGGCTTCCTTCGTTCCCATCAGGTGGTGGGAGCAACCGCTGTCGAGCAGGACCACCGCCGAGTTCGCCTGCACAGCCCCCGCCACCGCCTGGAAGTCCTCTCCGGCCTCCGGCGCCAGAGAGATGGTCGGCTCCACGACGCCGACCAGCGAGCACGACGCCATCTTGTCGTCTCGCCCCTTGGCGCCTGCAACGGAGTCGGCGTCCTTCGCCGAAGTCGATGCCTTGGTCGACTGTTTCTCCTTGCGCGGATGATTTCCTCCACGACGAGGACGACGGCTGCCAGACCTCCCGCGGCCGCCCTTGTCGTCGTTGTCGGAGTCACTGCGGTCGGGACAATCGAAGGAGAGGTGATCGGGGCTGTGGCAGATCCAGCACTCCCGACGTCGACCTCCTCCTCCTCGACCGCCGTCCTTGGTGGACTTCTTCTCGACCTCCTTGGTCGACTTCTAGCCACCGCTCCCGCCGCCACCTGACTGTCCTTGCTGTCCTGGTCGGCCTCCTTGCTTTGACGGAGCGACGAAGTTGGCCTGCGCCAAGAGCTCCTGTGATCGCTCAGCCTCCTGCATCGCCTCGTCCTGCAGGATGTACGAGGTCAGGTTGTCCTCGTTGAGCGTCGCCCTAGACAGCCGCTTCAGGAGGTTATAGCTGCTAGACAGTCCCTGCATGACATCGGTGATGTACAACGCCGTGGAGTACTGCGCGCCGGCCATCCTGATGGTGGAGAGGATTCGCCCGGCTCGGTTGCAGTAGTCGGTCGCACTCTCCTCGTCGCCCATACGCAGGTGTGTCAGCTGTCCCTCCAGCTGGGCGATGAACAGGTCGTCGGTGACCTGGTACGTTGACTCAATGAAGTGCCACGCCCGGTGGCCGGCGTCGAGGTACTCAAGGCGATCTGCACGCCCGGCGAGCAGCACCGCGAGATGACCGTGAAGGTCAACAGCTGCACGGCGCGAAACTCCGCACGCAGGTCGGGGTGGTGCTCACTCGGCGTCGCCACGGTCCCTCGGGCGAAGCCGATCAGCCCGGCCATCTCCAGCTGGGGCTCGATGGCTTCCTTCCAGGTGAGAATGTCGGGTCGACCGACCAGCGGAGGGGTGACCGAGATCCTGTCCGGCGTAAACTTGAAGTAGCCGTAGCTCGGTGCCATCCCACCTGCCGTCACCTGGGACGCCGTCATCGGCGACAGCCCACTTCGATGCCCACCGCCGTCACCATGTGAGGAGCCTGCAGCCGCCGACGACTGCATCCCTCTCGCCTGAATGCCGCCGGCTTCACCGGCGTGTATCACACCTCGTTGCCTCGACGTGCCTCCCACACTGCTGCCGACCTGACCTCCACCGGCGTTGACGCCCACATCGACGCCGCCGTCGTTGTTCACCGGTCGAGGAGAGGCAGGTCGAGAAGGGGGATGCTCCCCCGCCCACACGGAGCGGAGTCCGGCCTCGACGACTGCCCAGGGTATCGCCCCATACTCCTGAGCCTCATGGCGTCTCCTCGCATCCTCCAGCCGTCCCTCCAGGGTGTCCATCACCTCGGCGTCGCCTACGCGCACGCTAGTGACTTCACGGCTGCCGGTCTACAAACACGATCAGTATGTGCTAAGTCGGCTAGACTGAACTACGTCGCGTGTTCGATCCACGCTCACTGCACCATGCGGAGATAACTGCAGCAACGGGAGCTAGGCTACGGGCTAGGCACGTGTGCTCGTGTGATCTGTGCGTTCGTTAGTCCTTAGTCGTTTTCCTTGTGCACACACTACTTGCTAGTTCACGGGGAAAATTCGCAAGAGTTTCACTAGGAAAAGTTCAGAACAATGATGCAATGAAGTTGGCATAGCAAGACTACATCAGAGCAAGCATTCAGGTCGGCCAACTGCCAGCGCAGCTTGGTCGACCGCGTTCCAGCACGACTTCGTCGACAGCATTGCTCACGCAGGACAGCAGTGCACCCTGCTTCGCAGTTGTGCGCAGATGATTGGCGCGCAGAGTCTTTTTACCTGCACAGCGCACACACCTCGTCAATCTCGAGCTGACGACTGCCTCTGATCCGCCACGACGACCTCGGGATACCACCACCGAGGTCGGGCTCGCCAACTTCGCCTGGGCGACCGTCGCACTCCTCCGCAGCACTTCGTCACTCAGGTAACCTGGTCGACCAGGCAACCACGTCGACCAGCAGCTCCCGTACGTGCCCGTCGACCTCCCAAGTCGACGACCACCTCCACGTCGACCTCACCAGGTCGACGACACCATCGGTCGACCTCCTCCAGGTCGACATCCCCTCTGGTCGACCAGCTCCACGTCGACCAGCACTCCTAGTCGACCTGCTCCTCGTCGACCAGCACAGTCGTCGGCCGACCACCCACGTCGGCCACCCGAAGCTGGCGTCACGAAGTTGGCGCCCCGCTACTCGACGCCCAACTGCTTGGCGTCCTGAGTCAAGGTCGACGTCAGCCCCTCCTTCGTCGACCACCAGGTCCAGTAGACCACTTAACAGGTCGACCAGCAGTCCGTTAGCCGACTGCCGAAGTCGGCTTCCCCAAGTTGACGTCACCAAGTTGACGTCCTCCGCAGGTCGACACCCAAGTCGACCTCCCTGAAGTCGGCGCCACCCTGAATTCGGCGCCCGTGCAGTGTTCCCCCGTGCAGGTCGACCTCCTCGTCGACCAGCTCACCCACTGCTGAAGGCCGGCTGCTCCCC